GGAGATGTAAGACAAATAAACCCTTTTCTCCCCAAGTTGGTAGTGGTCAGAGTGTTTTGTCACAGCAATGAAGAAACAAAATAGGACAGCATCTATCCCCCCCCCCATCTAAACGCCAAGTTGAACTCTGCTGAGTGCCTGAGATATCCCCCCCGCCCCCATGGACCAACGCCTTCCTCTTTAACATGGTCATAGTTCTGGCATCATGTACTGTGGGGTGTGGTGGTGTTTACACTTGTAATCCTAGTAGTTTGAATGATGATTTGAGGCCAGCCTAGTTTCATCATGAGACCCCCATCTCCAGAACCCAAACAAAGCAAGAAAAAAAGGAAATAAATAACAAATCTAAACACACAACATTTCCTCCTCCCCCAAAATAAAACAAAGAAAAAATAAACCTTAACTTTTCTTATGAACTCTACAAAAGAAAAAATAAACTTCAGGTATTTGTGTTTTAGATTTGTTTTGAGTATGATTATGGTCTGATAGCTACGCAATACTCAGTTTAGATGATGAAGATTGGATTTCCAGCCTTGGTTCTGAGCCCTGTTCTTTTATTAAAAATTATGTATTTATTTATTTTATGTGTATGATTATTTTGTTCTTATGTAAGTGAACCCATGTTGTGCAATGCCTCTAGAGGTCAGAGGAGGGTATAAGATCCCCTAGACCTGGAGTTACAGACAGTTGTTAAACTCCATGTGTGTTCTGAGTGTATTGCTTGAATGTATGAAAGTGCACCCATGTCATGCAATGCCTGCGGAGGTCAGAAGAGGCCATCGGATCCCTTGGAACTGGAGTTACAGATAGTTGCTAGCCACCATGTGGGAACTGGGAATTGAACCGGAGTCCTCTGCAAGATCAGCTGGTGCTCTTAACCACTGGGCCATCTCTCCAGCCCCCATAATTATATATTTCAGAAAGCTAGGATTTGTGTGTTCAAATGATTGCTGTTCTTCAAAGTGAACATAGTGCATGGGCTGGGCAGATGGTTCACTTGGTAAAGTGCTTACCTTGCAAGCACGAGGACCTGAGTTCAATCCTCAGAATCCCTGTTAGAAATATCCAGGTGTGGTTATATGCACTTGTAATCCCAGCATGAGGGAGCAGGTAGACTCCTGGTAATGCTGGTCAGGTTGCCTAGCTAGTTGGTGAGCTCTGAGTGAGTGAGAGCTTCTGCCCAAAAGAAGAGAAACAGGACAGAACCTGAGGAATGACACTGAGATTATCTTCTGATGTACACATACATGCACATACATGAATGCTCATCCACATGCCCCCACCCCAATACCCACATTAAAGTAGACATGATACATACTTCGTAAGGCATCCTAAGAATGCCTCCTCGGGCCCATCTCTTTTGCTTTGGTTTACACGTATCCATGTCTTGACTTCTCACCCATCCCTTCTCTAAGACTTATTCTTGGCCGTCAAGGAAAGGTCCATAAGGCTGGCCTATGAAGCAGCCGTCCTAGACAGAACAATCAGGGATTCGTGCAGGCTGTTGGCACAGAGCATGGGAAGATATAGCAAAGCTCATAACGGAATATTGAGGCCATGCTCCGGACTGAGGCAGGATCTGAGCTGGATCTCACTGGTTATTAGACTGGGAAGGAGGAGTATTGGGGTGAGCAGGGTGCTTCTCTACAGCACAGGGCCTTGATTGAATAAGCCACCCATTTCCTTCCTGCCTAAAGCCTGCTTACAATAAAGGCTCAATAAGAAATCTTAGGAGGAAAGTAACCAGTTCTCTATGGTCATAAAACACCATTGTATATATCAGAAATGTGGTTCCTGTCTTTACCAAGTCACCAAGCTGACATGCCATCTTTGGAAAGGACAGTCAACATCCTAATCCTGTACCGCATATAGGGAACTGGTTTAGCTTCTATAAGACTTGCCTGAATGCTCAGAAAATAGAGATGCAACCCAGAAGTTAGAAGTTAGTTCTAAGAGCTGGAGGGACCTCATCAGCATTCCTATGAACCCACTGGTGCCAAAAGGGACTCCGAGAACCACTGCACTTTAGAATCCTAGCCCAGAGAGAATATGAATTCCTTACATTCTCTCAATTCAAGGCAGGCTTCATGTTTTGCTCTGCTGGCCCTCATTCAGCATTTAAAAGAATGAAAAAATGAACCTAGGATGCCCAGGAACACTGGGAAGAGATCTGTGATAATGGGCTTTAGGAATATATAGCACCCTAGGGCTCAAGGAAGTCTACATTGAGAACATCATGACTGTTTGGAAACTTGTTAATTTCTTGTCAACAGACACGTGTTAAGTGACCGTCAGTTAATGAGAGGATGCTAGCTGCCCTGTAGGCAAGGCAAATCCAAGAGATTCTGTTTCTCACCCAGTTTCTCATTACTTTAGCACAATGTACTTATGAGAACAAATGAAGTCTGCATACATTGGTGTAGTCAGAAAAGGCGAGGGAAACAAGTTGTTGGAAAAATTGGGAGAAGGTGTTAATTACTTTCCTGTTGCTGAGATAAACACCATGACCCAAAGCGATTTATGGAAAGAGGAGATTATTTTGGCTTATTGTTCCTGAGGGAGAGCCCATAATGGTGGAGAAGGTATGGCAGGAGGTGGGCAGAGAGCTGAGAGATCATATCTTCAATCAGAGAGTGGGGGGAGAGGGAGAGAGAGAGACAGAGACAGAGAGAGAGAGAGAAGTAGGGTGAGGCTATGAACCCCCAAAGCCCACCCCCCAGTGATGTACTTCCTCCAGCAAGATTCTACCTCCTAAAGGTTTATAACTTTCCTAAACAGTACCACCTACTAGGGACCAAGTATTCAAATATGTGAGCCAATGGGGGACATTACTCTTTTAAGCCACCGCTGTACCCATGAAGTCTTCTGGAACTGTGTATTCTCGGTGTCAGGGTGCTGTGTCCTTTTCTACTCTGGCAAAGCTTTTATGAAGTTGTGATGCCTGAGATATGATAATCTAAATACAAATTTTGTTAAATGATAACTAAAGCTGACATGATAATAAAATGAATATAGACCACACTTATTCACAACACAACAGCTTTTTACGTGATATATATACAAATTTAATAAAGAAATACCAGGTTGTATAAGCAGCCAGAAACTCTCTTCCTGCCTGTCTCTGTTCTCTTCTTTTGAGGTCAGTTTGTTTCTTTTCATATATCTTTATGTACTTTCACTATATATATATATAATATATATAATATGTGTGTATGTATATAGCGTGTATACATAGATATCATCTGTGGGTTCTTTGAATTATCAATGTCATTTGCAAGCCTGTGTCTAGTCTAGTCTACCATTTTTGTGGTGGCTATTTATGTATAGTATAAGTTTAGATTAAGTTAAATTGATTGATCTATTTTCTGTAAGGTTACTATTTTGTATCTTGTTTAAGAAACCCTCTACCTGAGAATCTGGG